CGCTTGCCTCTTTGCCGTCCGGCGGAGCGCCGGCGGCCGGCCGTGGCGGGCAGAGCTGGGCTTTAACAGCCCAGCTGCTTGCCGCAAGCTCCCGCGTTAGCAGCGTCCTTTTGTTCAGGCGCGTGATCGGGGTTAGATTATTCATGCTGTGCACTAGCAACCGCCGGGGCTGCGGGAGCAGGAAACTCCCCGAGAGGCGCAAAGGCAGCGGAGGAGGAACGGGAAGGACACCCAGGCTGTTAATCCAGGATTAGAGAGACAGCAACCTGCCTTTCCTCCCACTCCTGTTGGCCTCAAAGAGCAGAGAGACCTCGCAACTGCAAGGGTCCGGCTATCGCAGAGCAGTGTATCTGTCGCGTGGGGTCCTCAGGAGAGTTTCACCCTCTCCGGGGGCGGTGGCTGACCGGCAGGTGCGGGCTCTACCTTAGAAGCCGGGTCTTGTGTTTAGTAAAAGCTGTAGGCGTTTTGTTTAATCACCTAACATCTAACAGAAATTAAGAAACCAAAAGGGTTGGATAACTTCTCAGTTATTAAGTAATCCTTGACTGACCTTGCAGTATTTGCAAGTGCCCCACTCCTTCTCCCCTACGTACTTCTCCACAGAAGTCTCTGGTAAGGAATTTCTGGTCTAAAAGTGTTTCGCCTTGAACATTTGACCTACTTCTCTCCTGTTAGACACACTGTTTTCTGTGCTGAAGGAACCTTTCTCTATTTTTGCCTTTTTAAGAAGTTTAGTGCTGAATGGAATGGTGCATATGTACGTAAGCTAGTGCAGTGCTACTAGAGGACAGTGCATGGATGTTGCAGGTGTCAGCAGTTCCATAAACACTGTTGGAGGCCCTCAGCTGTTTTTTTTCCCCTTTTTTGATTGTGAATAGAGGAAAGGAGAATTTTTTTTTGTTAAGTGAAAGTTAGCAGATTAAATTCTGATGTCTTACTTGCAATAGTCAAACACCTTCTCTCAACTGTTGACCTGGCTAGCACCTGTACTAAGTTAGTGTTTCCTGAGTAGGCTGCTGTAAATCTATAAGGCAAACTGATCAGTTTTGTAATGACAAGTGATAATAGATAGGTTGTCATGTTTGTTTTGAGGAGGTGATGTTCAGTGACTACCAACGAGTAGGCTGCGGGTGAGAATTATTATTTTGTAGTTTTGTACAACCTCCACACTGCTGGTTTCAAGAGTAGAAATGCAGAAACTGGAATGGTTCGGATTCTTTGGTGTTTGAGGAATATCCATCTAGACGTTTAGATCACTGGGTGGAGAGGTAAGGAATAAATATGAAGTTTGCTTAAATCTTCACTTTACTGTGAGGTAAAATCTTCCTTGAGGAATCCAGCAACACTTTGAATACGATTAAAGGAAAATTTTGTAATAATATGGAGCATAGAGTTAGCAAATATCCTTCTTATGTAAGAGTAGACCATACAGTTTGGCTAGTTGAAATTCGTGTCATATAATTTGCAAATATTCCCTATGAAAGGGAGTAATTGTATATTGTATACTGAGGCAGCAATTAGAAACCCTTTGTTGCTAAAATCTGTATTAGTAGAAAATGTCCCTTGAAAAAATATGCTGGTAACTTTTCTGCGTTGTTGATGCATATTTATCTGTGTGTGGGCAAACCCTGATGTTTGCCTCTTCCTCTGTCAGTGTGCTCAGTCTGTTCAGCTGTATCACACTTTTTAGAAAAATACCCGTTTTCTTTGCAGTCCCGTACTGAGGACAACTGGAGATGAGATCAAATTTTATAGGTAGGTAGTTTTAAGAGTATTTTGCTTTTCTTTTGGATGTTCTAGAGTGCAGGCCTCAGGTAGAAGAAGTGCTGGAGCTCTAGAGATATCTTGATGTCTGGCAGGAAGTAAAAAACTGATGAGCGTTTGGATATTTGCAAACAACTGATCATAAGTTAGAGAAGATGATGAAATATATACATACAAAGTGCCCCCAGTAAAATATGTGTATATATACACACACACACACACACATATATGATTTGTACATCTCTGAATATTACATTATATAAGGATTATAATCTCTGGTGGCCTCTTTGATATTGCTTCAGTTAATAACTGGATCTTTTGAAGAGGTTGAGAAAAATAATCTTGTATTCAGAAGGCGATCCTATGACTTTAAGGTTATAAAAAATATTAGAGCTATGTTATGACAGTAACTCAAACTAGGTGTGCTAGGAGCATTTTTTTTGTTTCTTTTTTGCTGAATAGAGGTATTCCTGCTCTGTGTTGAATCTTTATGTTGTGTAGTATTAAAATAACATTAAGCAGCATTGATGGTAATTTCAGCTGTTGGTATGAAACATTTTATGTAGAGTAAGATTCTAAACTGGAACTACTGTATTATTTTACGTTAAATGTAGAGGCATTAACATCAAAAGAATTGGAATAACTTTGTGGAAAGAAAGTTCTCACTGCTTCAAAGTACTACAGCATTATCCACTTTTCATTAGTTAATGAGGAACCTGATGAGTTTCTCTTTACTCAGAATATCAGTGATCCAGCTAGTTGTTAAAGTAGGAGCTTCCTGGCTCCATTTTTTGCTTTACACAACAGAGCATACATCCTTGACATTGTGTTTTGGGAAGGTACGAAGTGTTGCTGATGTCTGAGAGAATGTTAGTTCTGCTCATGAAATGGCACTTTTCTATTTCTTGAGCATCTCTACTGTCCTTTGCAACGTACTTTGCTCGTCACTGACAGCAGTGTTTAGACTGATTTTTGACCTCAAGTAACGTCATACACTGTGCTCTTTGACAGAACTGAGGTATTGGAAAAAATACTCAGCATAGCAGAGAGAAGCCTTCACGTTGGCTGAGCTGGGAATATTTATAGAGCCTATCAGCTCTGTGGCTCTGATGCGAGGTTCACTTCGTGATTGTTTTCTTTCCCTGCAAGGTAAAACTGATTGTTGTCTCATGTCACTGCAGAAGGTGACTTAAGCTGAGATATTTTAATCTGTTTGACTGTACACTGAAATAAAAAAGGAGCACTCCCATGGCCAGTTTTAGTATTATAGTTGCGGAGGGTACTAATTTGCTAGACTATACTATCTTGATTTGCAAAGCTGCGCTTGTCCACTGTTGAAGTTTCTGTCAGTTAAATAACAACCTGTGGGCAACAAATGTTCATATAGAGTTCTAATTATTTTCCAGCTCTACGGTATCAGAAGACTCGAAGCCTCTTTCAAGTTGTTCAGACTGGGGAAGTGGAATTGAAGAAGGCAAAATAATGAGGATATCAGATAAAGAAATGACAAAGTGAGTATTGCGTGATTATTAAGTGAGTGTCATAACCATCTGATGATCTCCAACTACTTTACGTGCATTCATGAAGATTTGAAATGCCTTGGGCAGGAGGGAAGTGATTGTATCCGGAATCTTGGCCTCTCTCTCCATCATGCTCCGTATTTCTCACCATTAAGTTGGGCAAACTGTTTCATATGAAGCCTGAAGGAAACACGAAGGAGAGAATAGCACAGAGAAGCTCTTCTCTTAAGAGCTATTTGTGTGATCATTTCAGATTCTCTTTCTTTTCAGGCTACATTGCATATTCATTGCAACTTTACCTGAAAGAAATACTGGACAGTGAAAGGAAAAATGAAAAGCGACGTTCTAGCCTTGGAGAGAGAAATGGCTATGAGATCATTCAAGCTAGCCTCCTTTATCTTATCCATCTCTGTTGTATTAAGTTTGGGTTTTTTTTTAAGTTTTTGTGTTTGCTTTTGTTTTTTTAATATTAGAAGGTTGTTGCACATATGCACGAATCATCTACCATTTTGTCTCCTGGTTACAGAACTAGCCATAAACTTCTAGTAAGGCAGTTGTACTATTGGTACCCTCAGATGATAGTTGACTTAGTACAAACCTTAGCAATTACGTGAACTTGAAAAGCCTGCTCTGTTCTAGTGGGTCATTTGGTTAGCATCACCATCACCTCTGTGAGCAAGTCGCTACCGTCTATTAGAGTATATGTGGTTCTAGAGTATGTGTGTACATAACTTACTGTGAAGCTATTACCTTGATTCTAACTTTTATTTTTAAGTTCTGTTTCAAACAATTCCACCAATCCAGCGGAAAGGGAAACCGATGAGGTGGTTCTGAGGAGAAGGCAAAAACAGATCAACTTTGGAAAGAACACCCTTGCCTATGACAGATACATTAAAGAAGTTCCAAAGTAAGTTGCACTGTGCGTGGCAAGTTTTCAAGTAAACGTTTATTTGTTCCTGACGCGTGTAGGTCAGAGTATGGCTTTAGTTCTCTTAAAATAATAATGACAATAAATGAATAAAACCTGAATCATAATTGTTTTTGTGAAAAGGAAGCCAGGGATTTTCTGCACTGGAGCAAGTTTAAAGCTAAACATAGCCCTTGACTACTCTTGTTGTCAGTAGCAAGCATGCTTTAAATAAATTCTTGATTAGTCAGCTCCCTGTGAAGTTTCTGGTCGTTGTGTTGCTAGACCAATATGGAGTTAATTGCTGTTGGGAAGTGACAGTTTTGAGGATTGAATAAAGCTTTTCCTTTAACTATAGGTAAGGGCAACCAGTCTTCAGTGATTAATCAGTCACTGACTGAAATCAAACCCTGGATTTCTTCTGTTCTCTGTCATTCCACCTTGGGCTTCACACGGTCTGTGAATTGTAGCACTTACATTTGGTTTTTCAGTCAGCCCTCTCTGCTCGCTTCAGAATTATAAGGATTCAGAAACTACTCTGTAGAACATATGGATGTGCATCTGTGTTCTTAGTTTTGGATTTGAGGTTGACCTTTTTGTTTGTTTGTTTTTTAAGACTTAACTATTTATGGTTGTCTTACTTTCTCTGCATTTTACACTTAAGAGTCTGTTGTGAAAATTGTCTGCCAAGCGCAGTGGACACTACAAGCTAGTTGTTGAGCAAGGCTTAAGAGTAGCAGAGATGACTAAAAATCAACCACAGGTATTGTAAATGATTACAGATATTGCACAGTATTGTGATCACATCTTCAGGAACGCTCCCCCCCCTCTCCCCTCCCCAAAGAATCTGAGTGGCTCAATGGGACTTGTGACTGGGTTTTTTCCCCCCCTCCCCCCTTTGTCATCAGTGTGGTAGGACTGCAGCCAGCCTTATGGTTATGCCTGGCACTTCCATAGCTTGGCTATAATCAGCTAAATTGTAGGTGGAGAATAGGAAAAGATGAGAACAACATTCAGGAAAAAGCATGGGATAAACTAATTAAAAAAAAAAACAAAGTTACTAGATGGTATTTTAACAGGATAGTTAATAATACTGTTCCTTAGCAGGGATCTATTTCTGTTACAAAAGAGTCAGTCAAACTGTTATGGCTTCGTATATTGGACTGTGAAGCTGGGAGGAAGAACACTTGAAAGTAACGTACTTTGTATGAGTTAAAACATGATTATGATGTGTTCTTTCTTCCCAGGCATAAAAGCTGAGTACAGTATGGTATGGCTATAACCACGGGATTATTTTGTACTGCAGATATGATTTTAGTGAGGTCTCCAGTAATCTTTGGTTGGACAGGATCTGGATTTGAGATGCCATCCAAGAAATGTCACTTCCAGCCATTTGGTGATTCCAAACACCATTGTTACAGCATTTGCCCACTGCAGATTTAGTGAAAAGGCATACCACTTACTCAGTTGCTTGCATATTACCCAGAGGGTGTGGGTATTTTGTTTTTTAAATCTATATTCCCAAGGGACAAATGCTGTTCAGAAGTGTATACGCCCCATTGTAACAAATCGTGAACAACTGTAAAAGAAAAATTCACAGAAGATATTAAATGCGAAGAAACTGCCCCTGACTCAGGAAATCTGAGACAGAAATAGTTGGAGGCAGGGAGAGTACTGAAGGAATATCCCGTATGCTGCTTCTGTTTCCTATTTGTCCTTAGGCATTAGACATCTGCTTTTGGCAGCTGTCAGGCTGCTGGGCTGGATGGACCTCTGCTCAGACTCAGTGTGTTATTGTTAGTTGTTGCTCATGTGAATTGTTTTGTTTTTGACAATGTTTATTCTATAGGTAGAATATACCTATTTCAGTTAAGCTGTTAACATAGGAGTGTTTTGCCTCATAGTCCATTGACGTTTGCTTAATCTGATGGGCTGAGGATTTTCTGGAAGAAAGAAAATCATGTCCTGAAATGTAAACGTTACTGGTTTTTTACAGGAATCAACGAATACCAGGAGTTCATCCTAGAACTCCCAACAAATTTAAGAAGTACAGCCGTAGATCCTGGGACCAGCAGATCAGGCTGTGGAAGATAGCGCTACATGCCTGGGATCCTCCTGAGGAAACCTGGGATCTGCAGCCAGTGTGTGTATGGGTGAATTAGTCAACACTCATCTGTTGCTTCACAGCAGGGCTCTGAATTTCCTCTAGAGCATTCCTTACTGGGAACAAGAGAGGGAATTGATCTCAGGCTCAGAAACGGGAGTCCCATTCAGTTTCCTCTAGCGCTTTGTTTCCCCCTTCGATTTCTGTTAGTATTCAAAATTTTCCTAATGTTTAGTCTAAATTCACTTCCAGTAAGGCACTTTGGGGAGGAAAGCGTGTGGTATGTCTGCAGTAGTACGTTCCCTTCCCTGTGTGTTTGCACTAGTCAACACAAGATAAAATTATTTTTCTAGGAAGGGATAGCAATAAGTGGAAACTTGTTGATTACTGTTCCTTGACCTTGATATCCTTTCCATCTTCCTTATAGTAGGACAGTGGATACTTCTTTCTGATGGCAGGAGAACCACCCTGCTCCTGTAATAATGATCTGTTGAGAGTCTGAAGTTTAAGATTGGAGAGATTTTCCATATTCTTCAAAAGACAGTGGCAACTGTTTTCAAGTTGGAGAAGCTTTTTTAATCTTTTAAGAACTTTGACTTTCTGTAACAGGGCTAGCTTCAATAATTAACACCTAATGTTTAACAAAGTTGGGAATAGTAAATTTGGAGGAGAAGAGTGAATGGAATTCTCTTAGCACTGTAACTCATGGTGTCAATAGCTTTAGTTGTGCTGTCCTCCATGGTGGAGGCTACAATTGTTTGCACCGTCTGGGTATTGTGTGAGATGAACTATTAACTACTGCAGCTTAACTCTCTTCTGCTGGGAGTGATGAGCTAGAGGGACAGTATTTCAAATCTTGATTTTTCTCTTTTAGTAGTACAGAACCTTCAGGCAGTTCCCAAGAATGGGTCTACAGAGATCAGGATGACTCTGGCTACCCAGTATTTGATGAAAAGCAGAGTAGAAGTGGATATGAAGATCAATACAAAGAGACAGACTATGCGTCAGAGAGGTATGAAATAAAGTTTTGTGACTAGTTAATTGCGATAATTCAATGCACGTTACTGTTACCATTTTTTTGTGGGAACTGTTTAATGAGGGGGCAATTATTGCTCTGTCTCCCCGTTTGGCGCTTACACTGTTGAATGTCATCCATCCCTGGTACAAGGCATTGAAAGTGGAAAAAGTACCAGCATTACAGATCTGCATGATTAACAGTAGAAAAAGGAGCCGTTCTTTCTGCTTGTCTGTTTATACAGTGGAGTACTGAGGTGTCTTTAACCAAAGATGACAAATCCTGAAAGTAGGATGTCTTCTTCAGAAGCAAAACTGACAGTCCTAAACTGAGTGGTCTCTCTGCGTGCAGAACAGCATGGAGAGTTTACAGTGAAGCATCTCATGCAGTTCTGTCTACCGAGATGTCTTGATCTCAGCTATGCATGTGGGGCTGGAAATGGCTCTGCATCCAAGCTCAGTGGAGTCTCACTGGCAATTATCACTTGATTCAGTTTTCAGAATACAGTCAAGAGGTTACAAAATCTGAGCCGTTTTCTTAGGTGTTCCTCTTGCTGTAACTTGTGTGTCTTACTTCAGGGAGAAAACTCTTCTTCTGTTGCACGTGTCCTTGCTTTGCAGAACTGTGATATGAGTTTAAACACAGATGATGGGGGGAAAAATGCTTTCTTTGTAAAATCCTTGTCTTATTTTTGCAGTCCCTGTTCTCCCGATTCTTCTCCAGTATGGAAACGCAGAAAACGAAATAATCCTGACTCCTCTGCAGTCTCAAAGGGCAAAAACCATTATGTGCATACGTACCACGCACTGGAAGGGTATGAAATGATTCTCTTTTTGGAGAGCCATACGCATTATGAACTGGCTTTTGGAATATTACTGAAATTGACCCCCTCTCCCTCTCCGCTATTTGTTAACAGCTTTAATTTAGTCTAAACATACTTGCATTCTAATGAGGAAAGGAAATCATGCCAGAATAACCATGGTGATAAGTATTTGCAAAGGTGAAGAAAATCTATTGTCAGAAGACGCAGCACAGCTTATTTTAGGGCAGATGCTTAATTCTACATACAAAAAAAATAATCCAACATCAATGTCTTATCCTCGATTTCTAATGGAACCTCGTTTCTCCTTCAGAGCTTGTAACTATGACAGAGCCAAAACAATTTCATAATTATTTCACATAAGAATTTTGAGGTACTTGTAGCACTTTGAAACACCTCTTACATGCACTGTATTCTGCCTTTTGGCATGCAGAGTATATACAAGTGGATGAATGTCACGGTAAAGGAATAGAGCTCCACAAGAAAGCATGTGCACTCATCAGTCCATTAGTGAATACTGAAACTCACTGCCTGTTTAACTATTACCATTTTACATTTACTACAGATGTTACGGAAAATGTGTATTCATTAAGGGTTGTGAAGGGGAAATTTTGTGTGTTTTTGGCTACGCTTTTCCCTGCTTTACAGAAGGTGGCATGGGAAAAAATGCTTATTGGAACAACGAAGTATAGGTCACCCATCTGGAACTGGGTCAAAGTGAGATCAATGACCAAAAATGGGAAGCAGAAGGGCTTTGAGATGTCAGAATGTTTCAGAGTTCTCAGGCTAACACCTTCTTTATTCAGAGTTGCTTAGGAATTACACTAATCTTCTAATTGTTTTTAATCATATTTCCTTATTTTTTTTTCCTTTTCCTAGCCACTGTATAAAAAGTTTTCTTGTAAATGGGAAATGATAGGCTGGCTATGTAACAGAGAGTACACTTTAACTGTGTATGTATAGTATCGCCAAAACCACAAAGAAAATTGGAACAATGGTTTAAGGTTTGTTGGGTTTAGTAGCCTTTTGTCAAGAACCTTATTAAAAATGTTTATACAGGTGTGCTATTTTTTTTCCTTCTCTTTACTTAGCTCCCATATTCTCAGAAGAAATAAAAGGAACAAAAAGCTCCATAGCTTTAGACCTTTTTCCTTTCTTTCTAGTCTTACTGAATCAGGACATCAGGAGGCTTTTTCAAGGTATTCAGAGTGGGGAACCTCAGGTGAAAATGATGAAATAATGACAGTACAATATGGTATAGAAGTAACAAGGTAAATACCATAATAATCTTTTTTTTATTGCTCATGCTGTGAAGCTGTCCTTGGCTTTTTTAAACATCCCTTTCCTTCACTGTTTTCTTTAATCCTACTTTTTTTTTTCCCCCCTCTCCTCCTTATACTTCCTGCAGCTTATGTTTTGTTTGGTTATTTTTGTTCCTTGACTTGGCTAGTGTCAATCTGACTCTCTTCTATTCCTGCCGCTGCTGCTTCTGCTATTAGGTAGTCCTGCAAGATGCTGAGCTGCTTTCACCCTTTTTTTTCTCTTAGGGAAAGCTGTTGTTCCCAATGGTTGTTAATCGCCTCTTACTTGCTAAGCCTAGCACCTGAATACTTCTTGTCTTTGTCTCCTCAGAGATGAAGCTGTTTTGTAGCTGACTACAGAGGTGGTTATTTGTTTTTATGCAGTGCCCAGGTTCCAGCCAGTTGTTCTTCAGGATGGAATGATCAGAAACAGAAAAATTCCAGGTTTCCGCATTATAGCACAACATGCGGAGACTCAGACTACAGGCTGGAGAGGTATAAAGAGCCTGTCCATCAGGGGCTTTTTTACATGTTAAGTTAGAGGTGTGTTATCTTACTGTTATATTTCAAGCCAATATTTTATTAGGAACATGTATCTCTACTACTCCTTTTAGGGATGTTTTGGGCAGTATTTTTTTTGTGGTAAAGCTTTGTCCTTAATGCTCTGTCCTTGCAAACCGTAGGCAGCATTATAAAAGGCAGTCTGTATTAAATAGCAGCTTGTAACTATATTCGGTATAAAAAGGTTACCATAATAAAGTCAACAACTTAGTAGTTTTGAATGGAAATAGAGATACAAAAGCGGAATATGTGGGGTGTTTTTGTTTTTTTTTAATATCTGTAGGCTTAAACTTTGCAGCAGTTTATTGGAAGGACGTCAGTCAGACTACCCTGAACGGGGATGGGGAAGTGCAGGTGTTGAAGATGAAATAATAAGGAAAAAAATCTAAACTGCAAGGTTAGTTCATGGTGTCTACTTACTTTACATATTCTGTTTCAGTAGCCTATATGCGGTCTTGTTCAACAGCATCCAGCTGTTCAGTTTAAGTAGATCAGAGTTTCTCTCTTTATTCCGCTACTTTATGATCAGTATTTTCTGTCATTTTCTTGTCTTTAATGCAGTACCTAATTAAAGGATGTAATACTTTTGACTTAGTAAATTTAAATGTTTGTCTGTTCAGCCAGAAAGCATAAAATTTTTTATCTTAAAATACAATTAAATGTGGCTTTCTTGTTGAAAGCTATTCCAGGAGCAGCTTTTTTGCCTGTTTTGTGGTGAAATCACAACTTTGCATTTGCAGCCATAGAATTCAGTTAAAAATTTATTTTGGGCTCTAGACTCCTTTGCATTAATAGCATGGAAAATATCTCGAGTCAAACAGCCTTTATTAACAAAGGTGATCTTTTATGCGATTCAATTAAGTCTTTGTTGATCTCTTTGATGCAGACTCTGAAATGTTGTGCGTATGGTATACATGTCTTTTTAACAGTCATTTTGGAATATTTTTCATAATAAGGACAATGAAAAATTTGGCACAGAACTAGTATTGTACTAGCTAGGTTTTGTCGAATTCTACTGTGAATACAATGAAAAAGCAGTTAGGACTTTACCAAAAATGTGTATTAATAGCAGTTTTTCTGCTGACTTCATTGATCCTATTTTAAACTAAATTCTTTATTAATATGAATAAGACAGTATGGGTTATTGTTTTTTAAAGTGCTAATTCAATATTTGAAAATATCTAGTCTGTCTTTGTATATAGAAGTATCAGAGAAGAAAGACTTTCTCCTGTGATACAGTGATTTGAAGGATAGGGATATATTGTGGGTTCAGCAGAACAAGCCTTGGACGACTGATGCAGTCTCATAACTTCTGCACTGAAAGAGGAAGAGATTTATCGTCAGCATGTGTATAATCAACACAAGGTGAAATGTGCAGGTAAAAGAAGCATGCTTCTGCATTGCTATTCGGAGAGCCTTTCTAGTCTTTTAGGTAGTGAACTGATATTTATCTGCTTTGCAGTCAGCTTTGTTCTATATAAGGTTCTAATAAAGAGTGTAAATGCTCAGTGGGTGCAATCACTCACTCTAATTGGAAAGCTATCTTTGTGACAAGTTGAATGTAGAGAGTGAATTTAATAGCTTCTCTGTGGAGCAAAGCATAGATTTCCTGGCATGCAAAGATCGGGGTTTAGAGAGAGGCAGTTCCTGTCCATTTTGTTTTCAGGTGTGACAAACTCTAATGCTCAAATGGCAAGAACTTTTTGACTTATCTGAGGAAACGGAATGTTGTTTGAAAACCAACTTGTGGATTCCGTGATGGAAACCCCCTGCCTGTTTGCTAAAAGAAAGTTGCTAATTGGATTCTTAGTCTCAGGCAGGAAAAAAGAAATTTGGCTGTTACATTCAGAATGATGAGACATTTCTCTGATTGCTTTTTAAGGGGAGGGGAGAAAAAATTAATAAGTAGAACACTTGTGATGTGACCAGAATTTGTTAATTGCAATTGAGAGAAAATGTGTTTTGGGCAGTATTTAGGTGAAGATGATGTAAGGGATTGGGAAAGGCTCAAATACTTCGATTTATCTTTGTCACATACTTTAACAACATCAGTTATGTAATGCTCTCATTTTGGCAGTAAGTTATGTTCTCAACATGTTCCTAATATCCATAACACTTCCTGAAATATGGACAATTTAGCTTTGTCTTTTATACTGTGCTTTAAGTTCACCACTTGCAGTGCTCTCTTCCTTTTGCTATTCCTGTAACTCTGGCTTAAGACAGTAATGTGGGGGTTTTTTGCGGTTAATGATTACATATACTTATAAAAGGCTGTTGTGTCTACCTTTTTATTTAGGTTTCTCCAGAGCTTTAAGGATAGATCGGCTTCTGCAAGCTTTGCCTTGAACGTAAAACCTCAGGTTTCATTAAGCCTGGGGCTAAGATGATGGACGTTCCCTAAAGCTTTTGTGAGAATATTTCTGCTTTATCTGAGTTGGCAGATGCCATGTGCGTCATATTGTAAAGGCTACTTCAGTTTTTGGATCCTGCTGTTGCCTTTTGGAGATCGTGCTACTTACAGTGCACTAATGTTATGTTGGTGTATTGGTCCAATATTGAGTCAGTGCGAAGGATGCCACCTCTCAAACCACGGAGTTAAGCCCTTTTTCCTGTACTGGACCAGAATTATGTATTCAACCTGAAGAACTGCTTCAGAAGAATGTAGATAATTCCACCCTTTCCTCCAGTTGTTGAAGACAAACTCCTTCTAGATTTTGGATGGGATGTTCATCCAGTTGGTTTATTTTCCATTTTCAGATAATGTATATTAAGCTAGCATCTGTCTAATCCTGGTGAGACAAGAGAAAAGGAAAGGTTTATCAAAAGCAGCCCCCTCTCTTTGAGGGGATGAGTGACTTAACAGCAACACAGCTTAAATATCTGGATTTTACTCTTATGCCTGTTACAGCCTGCCCCAGAGAGCCAAGCTGCTGCTGAGAATAAGGAAGGATGAATTCAGTGGCTGCTGTTGCTACAGAAATAGAGGAAAGCAGCACTACTGGAGCAGGTAGCTGCTCTAGGGTATGGAGTGTCCTGGCTGAGGGCTACTATGGTCACCCTCATTTTATCTTTCTAGCATTGTGCTCAGATGCTCCAAGTGAGTGCTGTGGTTACAGTGGAGTTTAGACAAGATTCGTGTATTACAAGAAACTTTTATAGTCCTTATGATTTTGTTTGTTTTTTGTGTTTTCTGATGTAGACTGTACTAAAATACAAATGTATTGGGAAATGTTAGCATTGGGAATTCTCATTGCGTTAGTGTAGCTTTGGCATTGCTGCACCTTGTCTCCTTGCAAGACCACTGCAGAAACTGTGGCAGTTATAGTGATGACGCACGGCAGCCTTGCTGTGGGACCAGCAGTGGACCAAAGGGCCAAAAGACTATTGTGCTGTTGAAGTCGAAGCAAGTTGCTTCCTGACAAACTACTCCCAGTGTCTCCCAAAACATAACTTCTACTTGTGTTGCTCAGACCTTTTTCAAGTTAGTTTTGAAGAACTGCTGTGCTGGTCTGGGTTTCCAGACGTGTTACAAAATGTCCAAAACATGAAGAAAACAACACTGTAGAAAATACTGTTGCAGTGTGCAGGAGCAGTAGGTTGCCTTCACCAAGAACTGCCATGCGTGCAGAAACTCACGGCTGCATTTAACCATCACAGGTTTGACAATTTCCAGGGAAGATCAAAATTTCTGAGTATGAAGGGGGGGAAAGTGTGCTCCTGCTTCAACAGATAAACGTGAGCCTTAGTTACAGCTATCGCTCAACAGTAAGAATATCCTTTTTGCTGTGTGTGCTCTGCTTACACAAGCACAGGAGGAGGGCCATGCCTCTGACTACGAGTCAAGTCAGTTAATGCCTTGTCGGGGTGAGGAGAGCTGCCTGCAGGTTGGTGACTTCTATCCTAGATGCTTCCTGCAGCTCTTGGCGCAGGAACCTAGGGGTTCAGTAGTATCGTAGCACAGGGATGGCTCACTCGCATGCCACAAAGACTTAAGAGCATGGAATGTGTATACAAGGAACAGATCTGTACAGCACCTTTTAAAGAAGTAATATGTAGAGCCTTGTTGTTGCAGTGTGCATGTTTCCATGTATTGTACGATGTTTATAAAGAAAGAAATGTTTTTAATCTTTGGCATATTGTCTTTATGCAAAAGAATTAAAGTCTTTAAAACTGACGTTTTTATTTAGAATGTACTGGCGTAGTAATGTTTTAATTCCTGTTAGTATTGTTAGTCTGTTGTCAGTGTTTCATTATAAAAGGCATGTGTTGGTTCAGTAGTTGTTCTTTAGCCCTTGCTTGTTCTGGGAGAAGGGAGGACTCTGTTCAGAGATGAAACCAAACTCTTGAAGGGAGTCTACAATACAGCTTGGGTTGTGTCCGCCACCTCAGTTTGAATTCATGACAAGATGTCAAAACACATGTTCAGTGCATTGTAACCTAGTGAAATGGAGCAGCCGAGGCCCCAGCACCCGTTCTGCGGCCAGAATAGTGTCCTCTAGGTGAAGATGGACCTGATGGTTGGGAGCAATAAGACTCCTGAACTCCCAGCTCCTGAAATGCGGTGCCAAAGCCAGGGGCAGAAAACGCTGAGCAGTTTGTGTGCGCCTTCCTGTGCACCCCCAGCCTTCAGGCAATGAAGGCTCGGAAAGTTGTTATTTTTAAAAACCCTGCTTGAGTTCTGCTGCAGGAGAGCTCCCCGTTGTTTCCGAATTACTTTTAAGACATTTCGGTGTGTTGCAGATATCACAGATTTAACAGGATCGTGCCATGCCTGTGGAAGCCACAGGAATTTGTAATGAAAACATACGTAAGGAAACTCCACGCGTCAGCTTGGAGGCACAGCAGCCTCATGGCATAATCCAACCTCGTTTAATATGGGCATCAAATACTATTTAGCGCCAGGTCGCTTTACGCGTTTCGGGTTGGCCGGGTCGGGGCGCGCCAAAGCGGCGCGGCGTTCTCCCGCCA